GGGAGCCACCAGAAGGAAGTAGGATAACTGTTGCTGCAGGGAGGGGATTGTAATCCTTGAGATGAAACAAAGTGTATAATTAGTTGGGGGAGGGAGGAGAGTAGCATCTTCAGTAAGCTGTTATCAGTAGGGTAAGCAAGAAACATAATTGATTAATACTAATAAATGTCAATCATCACAAGGAAAAATAGTACAACATCTTGTAATAACTAGTGTAGAAGGTTCCACAAATAAGTATTAACATTTAATGAAAATGAGAATTTGAACATAGCTTCCAACAGGCTCATTCCCATTCAACTCCTTGTTCAGGGGATCTTGTTAAAATGTAAATTCTAATTCAGTATATCTGGAATGGAAATGCAAATTCTCAACAGGGGGTTGAATTAAAATGAAACATGAAAGCATGGGTTTGGGGTCTGAACTTAGCAATAACTGTACTTTGGAGTTCTATGATCTCTAACATATGAATAAAAATTTCCCAAAATCAGAAGAAAAAAAAAAAGAATACCAATGCAAACTTGAAGATTAGAGATATTTATGCCTTTTTTTGGGGGGAGGGGGGGTTATGGCAGTGGGTTTACTAGCTGCTAAGCAGTTTACTCTCCCTTCCGGCCACAGAAAGCACCACAGCTTTTGACATTGTCTGTGGCTTTACTTCAAAAGCTATTTGAAGAACAACAAGGAAGCTGCAAGCCACCGCATAACATGGATGAACCTTGAGGACATTACGCTGAGTGAAATTAGTCACAAAAGGAGAATTCTGCATAGGACCATTATTGTAAAAGACTAAGAAAAAGAACCCACCCCAAACAAGCAAAATAAAACTATATAATTGCTGATCACTGGGATGTAGGGATGAGAGGGAGGGGACGGAGTGAGGGAATAGACAGGATACCTTGGGTGCTGGAGTGGGGGGGCAATACACAAGAAGGGGTGGGGAATGGAAGAACAAGGCAGACGGGAGAACAGTTAAGGCAGGTTCGCATGGGCTAAGAGGGGCAGAGGTAAATGATGATGTATGCACAACCTTGGAATAACAGGCTTCAGGATACAGGGATTGAGGCATGGTTTGAAAGGGTAAAAGAGGGGAATAATGTTAAGATGCTTGGCTGTCTTTTGAATCTTGGT